GGCGACGAGATGCATGATGCACCTGGAGAAGCAGGAAACTACCAGGTTTGTTAGGTGCCTGTTTCCCACTACTACTACTACTACTACTACTACTACTACTACTACTACTACTACTACTACTACTACTTCTGCTATTACTTCTGCTGCTACTACTACTACTACTACTACTACTACTCCTGCTGCTGCTGCTGCTGCTGCTACTGCTGCTGCTGCTGCTGCTGCTGCTATTGCTGCTACTGCAAATGCTCCTCGCTAACACTGCTGCCACTGCTGCTACTCCTACCACTGTTGCCACTGCTGCTACTGCTGCTACTGCTGCTACTGCTGCTACTGCTACTGCTACCGCAACCATTAATACCACAAGAACCACTATCACCACCAACACGACGATAACTACCAGCTGTCCCCTGTGATGATCATCCTGAATAACGTCCTAAATGTTAGTATCGGTGCAAAAGCCAATGCATTGTTGTTTTTCGCTTGTAGGTCTTGCATGCTTGCTGAAACTTTTGGTCTGAAAAACGATCATTGTCCGCATTCTCACCGGTGTCCAGCTGTGAGTTGGTGATAGTGCTTTCGCTGATGCAATGTCTGGCACCCCGGCTTCTTCTGCCGGTCAAACTGGTCTGCCAGCTGCAGCAGCGCCGCCGCAGAGATCTTGTTCGACATGGCCTCTGACAACTGCACGTCACAGGAGGGTGAAGCATGGCTTTGTGGGTCGTGGGTTACACCGAAGTATACGTGTTGCCCAGATGACAGATTAAACCTCAGTCGCCACTGCGCAGTGTAGCGGAACACACTGCGCTCGGAAGGTCCTGTATGGTTCTGTACGTCATACCAGGTTGCGGTTGGCAGTGGAGGTCTTGGCATTTCTTGCCGCAGGCGCTCTTGGGGGGTTTCTCGGCCATGTACAAGCCCGGGCACACATGATCCAGCGATTTCGAGTGCCTCTCTTGACACGCGCCGTAACTTGCAACTTTCCAAAGGGGTAGGGCTACGATGTGCCAGCATTGATTTTTCTTATCCGGGACCCCTGCACCTGCCCAGCAACATACGTTAGACCCGTTAGACACCTGAGCTAACATGGAATCTGCGGCTCACTGCAGCAAGTGGCCCGATCCCCCAGACTCAGCAACAACCACGAGTGGCTGGCGGGGAAGGCAAAAAGCTTGAGGTGAGCACAGCGACAGAACAAATGCTCATGCAGCAAGAATGAAGAGCTACGAAATTATACATTGTCTCGTGGGTGTGAGATTAAATGACAGTGATGTCCTAGCTCACTGTCTCTGCGCCTTTTTCTCGTCTGCAGGTTACAGCTGTGCTCTTCCCCAAACAGGGCTTATGCCGGAGGACTGCTGACAATTAAATAAGAATGCATGCAAACGTGACTCTCAAGGTCCGGTCTCGCTTCGAAGACCCCAAAAAGGCGCAGCGGGAGGATCGCCGCAGCTCTGACTCAAGAAGATGCTGAGCTCTCCGACTGAAACTGCATGGAGGCCCCCTTCTTCATGTCCCCGAGGCTGACGCAGATGCCGAGCTTGGGGAAGCAGTTCAAGAAGCACATGTTGACCATGCAGGGCACTTCGGAGTCCGGAGGGAGAGCAGATCCAGCCACACAGCAACACATCTGGCTTTGCACCTTGCAGCATGTCGTAGGGGCCACGCAGCGGAGGGCACAGCATCCGCAGCACAAGAATGGTGTCCCGGACTTGCAGCAAATGTCAGCCTCACAGCACAGGAGAGTCTTCTGCGCAGCGCAGCCGATGTTGTTGCATTCTGGGACGCAGCCGTCGTAGCAACAGCAGCAAGCATGGTGCACGATCACCTGCAGGGGGCTTTTCAAGGTAGCTCAGGGGAGTATAGTAAGAATAGTTAAATGATTCGAAGACTGTAATGTTCGCTCTCAGCAGGTGAGCCACCTGGGTCTCGTCGATGGAATCCATCTGAACCTGCCTTGGCGCGGACATGTCGAAGAAAAAGTCGTGAGGTGACAGAGTAACCCTGCTCTTGAGCCAGAAGCTTCCAGAGACTTCTCCGGCAATGCTCGCATTCATGTTATGAAGACGAAGTTATCGCCGCTCAAACCCAACCACATTCAAAAATGTCGAGCATGCCCGTACTTGTGCAGCCGTACATGTTGTCGAGGACTGGTGGCTCAAATTCACCCTTGCCGCAACTGTACAGCAATAGCAGTTTGACATTGATCACCAAGGAACAAGATGTTGAAAGCCGTGTGTGACTTAGGATGTCAAGGGACTTCCACACTATTGGGGCCACTAAACACCCTACTATTCAGCAACACTTTGCGGAAGCACGAGCTAGCAGCAGCAGCAGCAGCAGCAGCAGCAGAACACCACCACCACATGCCCCCGAACACAATGCTGCTACGACCACGACAACAAAAGTTGCAGCCACTTTTTCCCTCGGTGCTGCAAACCTAGCATCGCTCCAGCTGACGGAATGACTGTCCCCCAAAAGAGGATATAAGCTCCGGAAAGAAGCATGCCTCCTGCGATTGGAAGGGAACGACTCATGCAACTAAGCAGACTCTCTTGGAACAGCAATTGCTTCAGCTTTCGAAGCAGCCTGGTAGTAGCTGCGTCGCTGAACCCCGGAATCGAAAAGAGCTGCAGTCTGCAGCTGTTCTGAGGCAAGAATCACTCGGCTGCGGCAACTGCCTCTGAGGCCAACCGCTGTTTCTTCAGGCTCTCTACCTGACCATGACTGTTTCGGCCGCGCGGGAATGAAGAATGAAAGGAACAATGGAAGGTGCAAGGTGCAAGCCACGAATAAGAAGATCACAAACACAGCTTGAAACTTGAGAGGCCAGACTGAACTGAACCTAATCCTAAACCCCGAACCCAATGCATGCGACAGATAGCTTCCAAAGTTGAGGCTTTGCAGCTCATCTGCCTCTTCAGCTCCTACAAACCAAAGCCCAACCTGTTGGATCGAAATTGTCCGCTGAAGCTCCTGGCGAAGGGTGAAGAGTAGTCAGACTTTCGTGTAACGGGAAGGCACAGGCCACTCCAAGGGTCCTTCTTCAGGAGCTCACGCAAGTCTGCACCCTGGCGGCAAACAAAGCTGACTTGAGTAAATGCACGGAGGGGCATACAGTACATGCCAAAGATCCCGCGCGCGCACGCACACACACACACACACGCTGCCACTCATCAACGGATTAAGTCAGTCAACCTGACCCTAGGACAGAACCGGGCACGGGGAGCGCAACATGCTTCCGCAATGCTGCAGTAGTTTGTTGGTTTTGTGTTCGTTTTCAAATCTTCACTCGCACATATTCACGCTTCGCTAGGCCAGCCGCGCCAAACAGCACATGTGCTCGGTTGTGACTGTGACCTTCCAAGCGGCTATGCCTGGTTTGTGCTGCATGGAACCGGCGCATTCTGCATGCAGTGAGGAAAGTTTCGGGCTACTCAAACCCCAATGGCAATCAGACCAGTTTGCAACTAAAGCTTAGATCTGCATCTGTATCTCGCCTCGGCAGGAGTGACAATGAGCTCCGCGGATCCTTCCTCCTGGTCCTTTGTTGGGCTTGTATTCCATGAGAAACGGCATTTGGCTTTGACTAGAGTTAGGCGCCAGGTCCCAGCGCTGCACCGCGAGTGCGGCTAGAGAAGCTCGAGAAGGTGAGGCCGACTATTGTAGAATGGAAGTGTCCAATGAGGCGTTCAACAACAACTGCCGCACTACAAGAGGAATCGTTTGTGCACTTCCCCTTGAGTTGGAAGCGCACATTCTGCGGGAGAGGCCAAAGCACCTCGTTGCCAGCGTAACGTTGAAAACCAAGAGATCATGAAAGTTGTCAGTCATCTTTCTCACCATGATGACGCACTGGCTTTCTTGCTTGGCATCGAACACTGCAACTTGACATCTCTTTGACGACCTCAAGAGGCCCAAAGACTAGAACATGCCTCCTTGATGATGAGGGCAGGGCGAAGGGACCAAAATTGTAAGTCTCATGTCCTTCCGAATCCCCAATCCACGACCCCCTGCATCTCCGATTCTTTTCCACGTCGTCATCCTTGCGTGTTCGCTTCATGTCTGTCCAAGACCCCAAACCTGCACACGACCGTCCGCGTCAGCTGTTGGAATTAAAGCCCCCGTACGGGCTGACGGGCTGCCTCCCAACCCCGAAAGGCGTATGGAAAGCTCAGAAGAGAAAGATACACAACTGCACAAGGGGACGGCTTGCAAAAAAAAGTGCAACAAGCACAAAAACGGCCGTTCAACCGAAGCAAGGCTATGTCCTCGCTCTAAAACCCTGAGGTCCGACAACAAATCAAGAACCCTCAGAAACTGTCCTCCCAGTCGAAGGACAGCCGGGGCCCCAGGATCTGGGCACTTTCCTCTCATCAGGGCTCGGGGTTCGAGAAACTTCACACAAAAGCCCAAGCCCTGCTGCAACGTTTTGGCTTGTGTCTATTTTAACTCAGCGGCCTAAGGGCCTAAAGCATGGCCCGAGCACCAAGGCCTACGGCCAGAGGCTCAGGAAGACCCCTGAAACGTCAGCCGGGGCCAAGCAAGCATTCCACAGAAAGATGAACACCTCAAATTCTCAAATTCGCAGGTCCGCACATTCTGAGACGAAGACTCTAAAGTCACAAACAGCGCAAGGCCCGAAGGCATGAGACCTCAAGCCACCTCCGAAAAAGGTGCCTGCAAACCCTCGAAGCCAGACGGGCCCAAGAGCCCAAACTTCCGGCAAGCTGCAAATCCTACAAACAACCATCTACAACTTTTATATACACAGTATCACCCGAAAACGCGGAAGTCCAAATCTGAATCTAGGTGCCCAAAGAAGCACCGAGGCCCGGCACCGTCTCCAGGTCTCCGCAAGGCCCTAGCGGCCCTAGCCTGGCTGTGGCCTTGGCCTCACGGCTCTCGCTTGGCGGCAAGTCGCTGGCAAGATCGCCGGTTTGCTTTGGAACTTCCAGCAGCCCCCCAGGCATCCAGATTTAAGAAGGGGTTACGCCCTGCGAAGAGATGCATTCGCAGAGATCGAGACCCGTTCGAAGGTCCTTTACAAGCCTAACTGTACATAATTTCCACCTCGCCCTGCACCCCGCCTGCCGTCGAAGGTTATCAGCCAGGTCCTGGCGGGTGACACGCATCGGAACAGAAGGCTCAGTGAGCAAAGCGAGCTCTAAGCACTCACCGCATCTGGACCCTTCACCCAGCACATCCGATCCCCGGAGCTCCTGTCGTGAACAGCCTTCGGGCGCCGCCCTAGCACTGGCCCGGTGGTTTTAAGAGAGTTGTTAGGGTCTGGATCCTAGCTCTATCCGCGATGCAGCCTTAAGTTGCGCAAGGCAGCTTGAATCACCATCTTGGACTCAGCAGCAATGTGCTACACAAAGCATCTCTCATGACAGTACACTCCAAAACCGAATCACCTCACCTCCCGAGACGAACCGACCGACACGAACTCCACGCAGAGGTTTGTGGAAAGGGCTTGCAGATGAGAGCTGAAGGGGCAGAGCTGTGGTGCGGCGGCGTGCACTAGAGAGTAGCTCTAGACCGGTACTCGTGCCCGCAGTGGATCTTGAAGCTGAGGGCTCCTACATTCCGAAGCAGCTTACAGGTGCAATTGCGGCCTCTTGATGGGGAACACTGGGACCGCCAGGGGCTTGTGCTTCGCGCCGACACGCGTCCTTAGAACATGGGACCGCTAAGGCTGGAGGATCAAGATCTACCGGCACAGTATTGTGGCATTGCTTGTGCATGTTGGTCCGCGTGCGACTACGCAAATCCACGTTGTCCTAAAAGTCGACACCACAACCCAAGAACCCGCCCCAAGGCTTAGAGTGTGGCTCTTGAGGCGAGGGAATCAAGAACCGTATACTTGCAAGTCCCTTCCGACTGAAGGAAGGCGAGGGAGCCGTCAGATGCTGCACTAAGTCACTAGGTCTGTAGCTTACCAATCCCGGCAAACCAAGAGGCTGCGGAGCAGGTCGTACTGGCTGCCGACACTGTATCTGCTCCTGTCAGCGGAGCTTGCTCGGCATGTTCGAATCAAGGAATCGAAAATCTGCACTGGCGCAGGCAAGGGGAGGGCGCAAAATGAATCGCAAATAGGCTTGATGCACTCCTTCTGCTGCAGGAGAGTCTGCCTCACGTCTGCAGCAGAGCGCCTGCTGCACCGGCAGCACTGCGTGGGTCTCCAGACGAAGGCCACAATTTCTGGACAACACTTCGTCTTCTCCCTGCAACCAACTCTCCCATCTTTCTGCAACGCCGAACCTGCCGACATGTTCACAGAGCCTGTTGAACAAACAAGTTGAAGACACCCTTTGGGATTTATATCTGAAGCAGCTACCAAAGCCTCATACGTTCCACCTCAAACTGGCAACACCTGAGTATACAAACGCAAGGTTTGAGCCCAAGCATGACCGCACACAACATCCCGAAACCGACAAGAACCAAAAGCTGTCGGTTAGCACCTCTGACCACAGCTTTCGAGTTCTGCACACTCTTCAGAGCTCAGCGCCTGCCACTCCTGCCGAGCTCGACAAAATGCAAGGCTGAGGCACTTCGGGTTTTGGACTGCGTGAGCGTCTAAGTTGGTAGCATGGCAAGGTCTAGAGCGCCAGTGGAAAACAACGTCAAGTCGGGAAGCCGAAAACAAAGCGGCGCACTGGCAACGATGCAACCTTTCTGCCACATTTCGCGCCTCACCATGTCCCCCCATTTCCGGCACGCCCCCATTCTCCCTAGCTGCGAGAGGTCATTGCTTCATGGTCGCACGGTAACATAAGCCCCCCCCCC